GGAATGCCTGGGAAGAAATAGACTAGATCGAGGGTTTTATTTTATTTTCCACCTTTTGAGTTAGAGATCTTGGTTTTGGGCGATTATGGAAGGAATTTCTTAAGATTCGGATCGAGGTAAGTATTTTTGACTTGGTTTTATTCATTAATCATGATTTCATCATTTTTTATCATCTAATTAGTGATTGGAGTTGGAGAAATTGGGGGTTTTTGTAAAAACTTTCCTAAACCATACTTGAGGATTGAAGGTCGATTTGAGGTCGAAATTGTATAATTTTGGTATGCTTGGACTCGTATCGGAATGGGTGTTCGGAAGTTATAAGTTTGATCAGAGTCCGAGGTGCGAGCCCAGATTGAGTTTTGATTTGACTTTTTGATATTCATTAAAGATTGAAACTTTATCACCCGGAATCGCTTCCTATAGCTTGTATTTATGGTATTAAGTTATTTTGGCTATATTCGAGTTGTCCGAAGTGGGATATGCGCGGAAGGTCTTATTAGTGGATTGATTTAACTTGTTGAACGCAAGTATCTTACCTAACTTTGTGTCGGGGAAACTACCCCTTAGGACTTGGGTTGATTGTGTTATTTTCATTATGTGAAAAATGTGTACACGAGGTGACGAGTGTGTGCACGGGCTGATATGTCGTATTTTTTACGGGTTCAAACTTCTAGACTTCTTCCATGCATTTAATTGAAATTGTCTTAACATGCTATATTTTTCATTATTGAATTTTCTCTCACATGCTCTATTTGACATTATTAGCATAGGTTCTATCCTTTATGGTCAAGTTTGTTCTTATATGCTTTAGTTGAAGTTGTTAGCTCTCTTATTGTCTTGTTGTTTCTTTTATTGTTGAATCATACTTAATTGAAATTATTGATTGTTAAGATATTCTCCATCGTGAATATTCCTCATTCAATTTGTTACTATTGAGATTCTTGTTCACATTGCTGGTTGAGCCGAGGGATATATGTTGTGGTAACATTGGTATTATTGATTTTCGGCAAGTGTTGTGGCATATGGGCACATGTGGTGTGTGTTGATTATTGTATTGTGATATTGATATGCATGCGGTGGTATAAAAATAGAAGTTGATATGCACGTGGTGAAATAATGTGGGATTGATACGCGTGTTGCTAGTAAGGGAATTACTTGAAGCCATGCTGTGAGATAAGGGGCTAAAACGCGTGTAGCTATTTCGGAAAAACATTTTTAACAATAAATGCAAGGCTGACATGGTGATATAAGGAAGATTGTAATTGTGGTTTGTGAAATAATATTTGAGGTGTGGTACCCCGTTTGTGATTCTTGTTGTATATTCCATGTTAAAAAAGGCTAGTAGGTTGAACAATTTTTGTTATCTCTTCATTTGCTTTACTTGTAATTGTCCATATTTGATTACTTGTTGTTCTTACCATGTGTTCATTCCTTGTTGTCTTATTGCCCTAAATTCCGTTGTTAGTTTACATTATTGTACTGTTTGTTGTCATTTACTTCCTCGCCTTCCATCATTAGAATATATTATATTTTGTTCAGTTTTCTTGTCCTAGTAGGTGTCTCGACCTGGCCTCGTCACTACTCTTCCGAGGTTAGGCTTGATACTACTGGGTACCATTATGGTGTACTCATGCTACGCTTCTGCACATTTTTGTGTGCAGACCAAGGTACATCCGCTCGTGGCGGACGCCAGTGATTGATTAACTATTTCCGGAGACTTCAAGGTACACTTGCTCGACGTTCACAGGCCTCGAAGTCACCTTCTGCTTTTAGATGTTTTACTATTTATTTCTTGTTCAAAACAGTATTGTACATTGAGATTTTTAGTGCACTCTCTGTAGAGCTTATGACTCAGTTCCACCGGTTTTTGGGAGTTTGTTACTGATGTTCCATTTTGGAGTTATTATGAGCTTTATCGATTTATTTCATTATCTTAGTTTGTTATTACAGTTAAACTATCAATGTATGTAGTACTTACCTAGTCTTAGAGACTATGTGCCATCACGACATCCTAAGGTGGGAATTTAGGATCGTGATAGTACCGGTCTCGTATTGTTACTATTAATGGTTTTGATACCATAGTTGATCTCTTGTTGTTGGATATGGTAGATTTTGAGTTTATTCTTGGTATGAATTGGTTGTCCCCGTATCATGTTATCTCGAATTATCGCGCCATGACTGTAACTTTAGCTATGCCAAGTTTGCTTAGACTAGAGTGGAGATGGACCCTTGGCTAGTCTACAAGTAGGGTGATTTCATTTATGAAGGCTCGACTCATGGTTGAGAAGAAGCGTTTAGCATATTTGGCTTACATTTGGGATTTTAGTGCGGAGGTTCCTTCTATGGATTTAGTACCAATAGTGAGAGAATTTTTAGAGGTGTTTCCTGCAGATCTATCGAACATACCACCTGATAGGGATATTGACTTTTGTATTGATTTGGTTCCAGGAACTCAGCCTATTTATATTATTCCATACCATATGGCTCGAGATGAGTTGAAGGAATTGAAGGAGCAGTTGCATGATTTGCTTGATAAGGGGTTCATCAGACCTGAGTGTTTCCCCTTGGAGTGAGCTGGTGTTGTTAGTAAAGAAGAAGTATTGTTCTATGAGGATGTGCGTTGAGTATCAATAGTTGAACAAGGTTACAACAACAACAACAACCCAGTAAAATCCCACTAATGGGGTCTGGGGAGGGTAGTGTGTACGCAGACCTTACCCCTACCCCGAAGGAGTAGAGAGGCTGTTTCTGAAAGACCCTCGACTCAAGAAAACAAAAAGAAAAAATGAGACAATATTAGTATCACCACAGAAGTCATAGGAAAAATAGGAACTACATGAAATCCAGAAGAAAGATGCAAAGCAAAAGCGATAGCTAGTAAATAGGTCCTGCACTGAAAAGTGAAATAGTAAGACACAACATTGCCCTAACTATCTTAGACAAAAACCCTACCAGACTGGTCTCACAATGGTACGAAGTAAGGAAAGACTCAACTACCTCCTAACCTATAACCCTAATACTCGACCTCCACATCTTCCTATCAAGTGTCATGTCCTTGGAAATCTAAAGCCTCACCAGATCCTGCCTGATCACCTCTCCCAAATACTTCTTAGGCCGCCCTCTACCTCTTCTCGTGCCCTTCACAATCAGCCACCCACATCTCCTTACCGGCGCATCTGGGCTTCTCCTCTGAACGTGCCCGAACCATCTGAGCCTCACTTTCCGCATTTTATCACCAATGGGAGCCACGTGCACCTTCACCCGAATATCATCATTCCTAATCTTATCCATCCTAGTGTGCCCGCACATCCACCTCAACTTCCTCATTTCTGCTACTTTCATCTTCTGGATATGTGAGTTCTTTACATGCCAACACTCAACCCCATACATCATGGCAGGTCTAACCACCGCTTTATAGAACTTACCTTTGAGTATCGGTGGCACTCTCTTATCACTCAGGACTCCAAATGCTAACCTCCACTTCATCCATCCTACCCCAATACGGTGTGTGACATCCTTGTTGATCTCCCCTCCCTCCTGGATAACCGACCCAAGGTACTTGAAGGTGCCTCTACGTGGGATGACCTGTGATTCAAGCCTCACATCCACGTCCACTTCCCCCGACTCAGCGCTGAACTTACACTCCAGGTATTCCGTCTTCGTCCTGCTCAGCTTGAAACCCTTAGATTCAAGAGCCTGTCTCCAAACCTCCAGCCTCTTGTTAACACCAGCTCACGACTCATCAATCAAAACTATGTCATCGGCGAATAGCATGCACCATGGCACCTCCCTTTGAATATGGTGTGTTAACGCGTCCATCACCAGGGCGAACAAGAACGGACTGAGCGCAGAACCTTGGTGTAACCCCATTTCAACCGAAAAATGATCAGAGTCGCCTCCTATTGTCCTAACCCGAGTCTTTGCCCCAGCATACATGTCCTTAATCGCCATAATGTAAGGAACCGACACACCTTTTGCCTCCAAGCATCTCCTGAGAACTTCTCTAGGAACCTTGTCATCTAGGTCAATAAACACCATGTGCAGATCCTTCTTCCTTTCCACCAACCACCTAACAAGGTGTATAGCTTCTGTAGTAGAACGACCCGGCATGAACCCAAACTGGTTATCGGTTACAGATATTGTCATCCCCACCCTCACTTCAACCACCCTCTCCCACACTTTGATGGTATGACTCAGTTATTTGATGCCCCTATAATTATTACAACTCTGGATATCACCTTTGTTCTTATACAATGGAACTACTGTACTCCACCTTCACTCATCCGACATCCTCTTCGCCTTAAAAATAACATTAAACAACCTAGTCAATAACTCCAAACCTGCTATCCCCACACACTTCCAAAATTCCACTGGAATCTCGTTTGGCACGGTCGCTCTGCCCCTACTCATCTTACGCATAGCTCCTACGACCTCCTAAACCTTTATACACCTACAGTACCCAGAGTCACAGTGACTCGCGGAATGCTCCAATTCGCCTAGCACAATATCCCTATCCCTTCTTCATTCAGGAGTTTCTGAAAGTAAGTCTGCTATCTCCTCTTAATCTGGGCATCTTCCATCAATACTCTACCATCTTCGTCCTTGATGCATCTCACTTTGTCCAAATCCCGAGCCTTCCTCTCTCTCAACTTGGCCAGCCGAAATAACTTCTTCTCCCCGCCTTTTTCCCCTAGTTCCTCGTACATACGACCATACGCCGCAGTCTTAGCCTCCGTGACTGCCAGCTTAGCTTCCTTCCTAGCTACCTTATACCTCTCCATGCACGCTCGCCTCTCCTCCTCACCTATGCTCCCCACTAACTTTAGGTACGCCGCCTTCTTTGCTTCCACTTTACCTTGGACCACTTCATTCCACCACCAGTCTCCTCTGTGCCCACTAGAGACGCCCGTCGAGACCCCTAACACCTCTCTCGCAGCCTCCCTTATACAGTCTGTTGTTGCTGACCACATAGTGCTCGCATCACCACTGCTCCTCCAAGCTCACATAGCCGACAACCGCCCCTCCAACTCTTGGGATTTATCCTTAGTTAAGGCTCCCCACCTGATTCTTGGTCTTCTTCTGGCAGACCTTTTCCTCCTCTTTGACATAATACCAACGTCCATCACCAAGAGCCTATGCTGCGCCGCGAGTATCTCACCCGGAATCACCTTGCAATCCTTACACAGCCCTCTATCACACCTCCTAAGGAGGAGATAGTCAATCTGAGTCTTCGCCACCGTATTTTTAAAAGTAACCAAATGCTCCTCTCTCTTCGAAAAGCTAGAGTTCGCAATCACCAACCCAAAAGCCTTAGCGAAGTGCAACAGCGAGGTACCTCCTCCGTTCCTCTCCCCAAAACTGAAGCCTCCCTGTACCTCTCCATAACCGCCAGCGATCGACCCAATATGACCATTGAAATCCCCTCCTATCAATAGCTTCTTAGCAGGCGGAACCTGGCGCACAATCTCATCTAACCCCTCCTAAAAGCGCCGTTTAACCTCCTCATCTAGGCCCGCATGCGGCGCATAGGCGCTAATGACGTTTAGGGTGCACTCTCCAACCACCAACTTAATAATCATCAATCTATCATTCACTCGTCTAACCTCAACCACAGACTCTTCTAAGTTCCCTATCCACCAAGATACCCATTCCATTCTTACCTTTCTGGACTCCTGAGTACCAAAGTTTATACTCGTCTGCGTTCTTTGCCCTCGACCCTACCCACCTTGTCTCTTGGACACAAGCTATATTGACCCTCCTCTTCTGGAGGATCTTCGCCAACTCTATAGACTTACCCATCAATGTACCTACGTTCCATGACCCAATTCTCAACCTATAGACACCCTTGTTCCCTTTACCTCTATTGCCTCCCGTCCCGCTCCCTAACCCCTGCCCTACCTCACGCCCTACCCCCCGCTCCCCCCGAGGACATGACCTCACTCGACCATCCCAGACCACAGCCTCTATACCTACGACAGACTAAGGGGAATCACTAACACACACAAGGCAACAGACCAAACTAGAAGAAGACAAGTTGCAACTACAGGTACACTAATACGGTGAATAACTAATATGAACTAAGATGACAACAATTTAACTAGCACAAAAAAGAGAAATAGAAAAATGGGAGGTACCAACTCTCGCGAGTAGAACCTGGGAATTGTCTTGGTATATACGACGATGTTGCGACCACCTAGCACGTTCGCGTCTAACTCCCGCTACCCCTTGCTGACACTCGCCCGGGTTGTTCTTTAATGTTTGCACACGCACGTCTCGTTCGCCGCTAATAGCCACAGGCCCTAACCCGAAATACACACAAAACACCACGAAGCCAAATAAAGGAGGGTTGTCACCGCTACCACTGGTGAGGCCCCACTCGTAGCAAAAGAGCATAAAAAGGATGAAATAAAACCTTAAGTTGATTTAAAAAACAGTCAATAACGAATAAAAATTGAAATTTAATGAAAATTTAATAAATCCAATAGTAAAAATAACCAAAACCCAATTCAAATCAGCCAAAATCAAGTTGAATAAGATGAAATAAAGGCTGAATTGATTGAAAATCAGTCAATAATGTTGATGAAATAAAAGCTGAATTGATTAAACCTGAAACAAATAACCTTAAATTAAATATAAGCACCGAGTAAATGTTGCGAAAAATTGCCACTAAAAAGAGGGAAATGTTGATTTTAACACTACTTTTATCGAATTATAGATACAAATCAACCAAACTCTAATACGGTTAGCTAGTTCACTATAAATCAAACACAATAATGAATATATGGGTGATCAAATATTAAGAATAACCTGAAAGAAGCTTTTGAAAGAGGGATCTAATGAGGAGAGAACGAGCGAGAAAATGCAAAAAAGGTTGTAGAAAATGCAAGAAAGATTAAGAGAAGAAGAAAACCGATTTCAAAACACAGAGCAAGAATTTTCTCCAGCTCAAGAAACTTAAAGCGTATTCATAATGAACTAAGTAACTACAAAACATTCAAAACGTAATAAAAAAAATACCCAGATGCCAAATTAGCTAAGATAATGCAAATATTTTCATCTATACATTCAAAACAAAGGGAATTAAACTCTTACAAGTATATTATTACACTATTAATGAAAAAGTATCCATTGCCTCGTATTGATGATTTTTTTTTTACCAGCTTCAGGGTGCCAAAGTGTTCTCCTAAGATTGATTTGAGATATGGCTATTATCAGGTGAAATTAGGGCTTCCCTAGAATAACTTTTAGGACTCATTATGATCATTATGAGTTCTTGGTGATGTCATTTGGGGTGACCAATGCTCCAACAACTTTCATGGATTTGACAAACCGAGTGTTCAAGCCTTATTTGGATTTCTTTATAATTGTGTTCATTAATGATATTCTGATTTTACTCTTGTAGTAGAGAGGAGCATGAGCAGCACTTGCGGGTTGTACCACAAACTTTGAAGGATCGTCAGCTTTGTGCCAATTTTTGAAGTGTGAGTTCTAGTTGGACTCAATTGTATTCCTGGGTCATGTTGTGTTTAGTGATGGTACCAAAGTTGATCCTAAGAAGATCGAGGCAGTTTCGAATTGGCTAGACCCACTTCAGCTACTGAGGTCCGGAGTTTCTTAAGTTTGGCAGTCTATTATCGCTGCTACATTGAGGGGTTTTCATCTATTGACACTTTATTGACCAAGTTGACTCAGAAGGGTGCACCATTCAGATGGTCTAATGAATGTGAGGAGAGATATCAAATGTTTAAGGTTGCTTTGACTACAGCTCCAGTGTTGGCGTTGCCCACAGGTTTGGGGCCTTATACTGTGTATTATGATGCTTCACGCATTGGGCTTGGCACAGCTTTGATGCAGAATGGTAGGGTGATTGCCTACGCGTCTCGGCAGTTGAAGATCCATGAGAAGAACTATCTTGTGCATGATTTGATGTTGGCAGCTAATGTACACCCGCTCAAGATTTGGAGGCACTATTTGTACACCGTGTCATGTGAGGTTTACAATGATCATCGAAGTCTCCAACACTTGTTCAAGCAAAAGGATTTGAATTTGAGGCAGCAGAGGTGATTGGAGTTGTTGAAAGACTATGATATCACTATCTTGTATTATTCGGGCAAGGCAAACGTGGTAGATGATGCCTTGAGTAGAAAAGGGAAGAGGTGCGTGCAATTTGGCATATATACCAGCAGTGGATAAGCCATTGGCTATGGATGTTCAGGCCTTGGCTAAAAAATTTGTGAGATTAGATATTTTTGAGCCTAGTAGGGTTCTTGCTTGTGTTGTGGCGCAGTCATCTTTGTTAGAGCACATTAAGGCTCGCTATCTATATGATGACCCACACGTGTTGGTGTTATAAAGACACGATGCAATGAGGTGGCATGAGAGGGTTTTGATTAGAGATGATGATGTTATACGGCTTTAGGGCCGGATTTGAATTCTGAATATTGATGGTTTGAGGGAGTTGGTTCTCCAGGAGGCTCATAGCTCGCGGTATTCTATTCATCCAGGAGTCATAAATATATATCGTGATTTGAAGCACTGGTAGCGGAAGATAAAGAAGGACATTATTAGGTATGTTTCATGATGTTTGAATTGCCAGCAGGTGAGGTATGAAACATCATAAACCAGGTGGTTTGACTTAGAGGTTGGTGATACCGGAGTGGAAGTGGATGCGTATTACTATGGCCTTTGAGGTGGGATTACCATGGACTTTGAGGAAGTTTGTTGCTATCTGGGTCATTGTGGACAATTGACCAAATCTGGTGTCTCATTCCGGTGGTGACTTCTTATAATTCAGAGAAGTTGGCATAAATCTACATCAGAGAGATTATTTGCTGCATGGTTTGCCAGTTTCTACCATTTAGGACCATGGCACTTAGTTCATATCGCACTTTTGGAGAGTTGTTCAGCGAGAGTTGGGCACTTAGGTGGATTTGAGCACTGCATTTCACCCACAGATGGATGGCCAGTCCAAACGAACAATTCAGATCCTTGAGGATATGTTAAGGGCATGTGCTATTGAGTTTGGGGACCATTCGGATAAGTTTCTATCATTGGCGGAGTTTGACTAGAACAACAGATATCAAACCAGCATTCAGATGGCTCAGTATGAAGCTTTATATGGTAGATAGTGCCATTCTCTTATTGGTTGGTTTGAGCCTAATGAGGCTAAGTTGATTCAGGATCGTCTTCGGATAGTGTAGAGTAGGCAGAAGAGTTTTGTGCACAAGAAGGTCCGTGATGTGGCTGTCATGGAGGGCGAGAAGGTACTTTTAAAAGTTTTGCCTATGAAGGGTATGATAATATTTAGGAAGAAAGGCATGTTGAGCCCAAGGTGTATTGGTCTGTTTGAGGTGTTAGAGAGAGTTGGGGACGTTTTAATAGGCTTGTATTACCTCCTAGCCTCGCGAGGGTACATCCGATATTCCACTTTTCAATGCTTCAAAAGTATCATGAGGATAAGTAGCATGTTTTGAACTTCAGCATGGTGCAACTTGATAAGAACTTGACTTATGAAGAAGAGCCAATAGCTATTGTAGATCGGCAGGTTCAAAAATTGAGATATAAGGATATTTCTTCTGTGAAAGTTCTTTAGATAGGGAAGCCAACTGAGGAGGCTACGTGGAAGTCTGAGACAGATAAAAAGAGTAACTATCCGCATCACCTTTCCAGTTCAGGTACATTTCATGTCCATTAGAGGACGAACATTTCTTTTAGAGGTGGAGAATGTAACTACTCGATATGCCATTTTGAGCTCTAGCTTTTCGTGTTGTAATTTGAGGCCTTGAACAACTTCATTGATGCTTTGTTAATTGTGTTCATGGTTCGTTTCAATTTTCGGAAAGTTAATATGTGTTTTAGTAGAGAAATTCAATTCTAGAACTTTAAAGTTGGGGGAGTTGACCGGTCAATGTTCTTGGTAAACGACCGCGGATCCGTGTTTTGACTATTCCGGTAGGTTCGTATGATAATTTTAGACTTGTGCATATATTTGATTTGGTTCCCGGGTGACCCGAGGCCGTTTTGGCGCTTATAGTTGAACGTTGAAAATTTGAGTTATGAACATGTGAATTTTTGAGTTTTGATGGTTGACTCTTAAGTTTTTATGTCATTTTCATGTTTTGAGTTTACGAGCAAGTTTGTGTAAGGTTTATATACTTGTTTGAATGTTTGAATGGAGTCCCGAGAGATTCGAGTGAGTTGCAAATTGGTTTTGAAAGTTTTTGGAGAGTTTTTCCATTGTTAGTGCTACAATCATCGCATTTGCGATGATCAGCTCGCAAATGCGATTTTTGTATTTGCGAATGCTAACTCACATTTGCGAGTTTTGGGAAAGGGGCCTAGATTTTTGCGAAGTTGGAATCGCAATTTCTATGTATGTAATTGTGAACATTTAGTCGCATTTGTGACTTTAGTGTCTCAGGTGAACCTCCACATTTGCGACTACTGGTTCATATTTGCGAGCTTCAAAATTACAAAACAATAAGTCCCAGTTGCGATATTTGCAGCTAGGTAAAAAAAGGAGCGTTCCGGGATTAGCTCATTTTACTGCATTTTTTAGACCTCGACTTCGTTAGGAGTCAGTTTTTGAGAGGATTTTCTTCCTAACTTCAAAGGTTAGTAACTTTAAATTTATTGTGATTAATTTTCATTACTGCCCATAGGCGTTTACCCCTAAATCTAGGATTTTAAAGAGTAAAAATAGGTCTTTGGGGTAGTAACTTAAGATATAATTTTTTTTTTTTGAAGATTTAGACCTCGATTTGAGGTGATCCAACTCACATTGGGCCTAGTGCCCAGGT